TTTTTCTTTGGAGGGAGAGAGATTTTGTGTTCACTGCTTCTGGGCCACTGCTGGCCCCAGGTGGCAAAATGGCCAGTCATGGTTCCAAACCAGCAGCTGTCAACCCATGGACTCGGGGGGGGGGTGTCTTGTGGAGATTAAATCTCAGATTCAGAAGCAGAGGAGATGCATCATTTCAGAGGTCAGTTGAACTGACTACAAAGCTGGTCCAAAGTTCAAGATGCCAATCATCCCCATTTCATGAACAAAAGCCAACCGGCCTTGCCAGTTCATGGAATGGGTGCGGTCACCATCTTGGACCTTGGACCAACCTTGAAGGACGCTTGCTTCAACCCTGGCAGTGGGACATCATCTTCTGACATACCTGGAGGCAACCAGTTGGCTTAAGGACCACACACTCTATCTGTGTGGTACCTGAGCTTCCAACGCTCTGATGCTGTCCCCCAGGCCTCTGCCGCCCGAGCCAAGCTTCCTTGCTCTCCCCAGTGATAGGACCTGATGAATCAGCAGGAGATTCCAGGAGATTAGTGTACGACTAACGAACCAGCTATCTGATAGGGCAGCAGTGGAGGATAAAGGAGGGAAGACAACAGCCATATAAGTGTCTTCACTGAAGGAAAGTCAAGTTATAAATGTTGCTCTTAGATGGCGTCAGGTGGCCTCCGACTTATGACAGCCCTACAAATGTGTGATATCCTGTCCTCAACTGCCCTCTTCAGCTCTTGTAGACTCAAGACTGTGGTTTCTTTTACAGAGTCATCCCATCTCATATTTAGTCTTTCCTCTTTTCCTGCTGCCTTCCATTTTTCCCAGCAGGATGATATTCAGAGAATCCTGCCTCTTCATGATTTGCTCAAAGTAGAACAGCCTCGGTTTCATCCTTTCAGCCTCCAAAGATAGTTCAGGCTTAGATTGAGGACGCACTTCTTTGTCTTTCGGGCAGTCCAGGGTACGTATCTGCAAATCTCTCATCCAGCACCACATTTCAAATGAATAATATATTTTTTTGGCCCTCATCCAGCACCACATTTCAAATGAATAATATTTTTTTTGCCCTGTCAGCTTTCTAAACTGTCCAGCTCCCACACCCTTCTGTGGTGGCTGGAGAGGCAATAAATCTAGGAAGGAAGGAAGGAAGGAAGGAAGGAAGGAAGGAAGGAAGGAAGGAAGACCATTTGAAGAAGGACAATAAATTCATGGTGGGTTTTATGGAAAGCTGTTTCTGAGAATCTGCTTTTCTGAACACCTCCTGCCTTTACAATGTCTGGTAGCCCAACATCCTCTTCATGTGCTGGTACTACAACATCCATCACTCCCAGCTTATTGGACAGGGAGGTGGAGGATGTGCCCTGGAGGCCAATCAGAAAACATCCTAGCCACCCAGAGTGGTCTAGTAGCCCAGATAGGCGGGGTATAAATTAAATAAACTAACAAAGAAAGAAAGAAAGAAAGAAAGAAAGAAAGAAAGAAAGAAAGAAAGAAAGAAATAAATAAATAAATAAATAAATAAATANTTTTAAAGCTCCCTACTTTCAGTGGCCATGGTGGCTGCCACAACTCCAAGAGTTCACCCATTTTCACACACACACACACAAACACACACACACATGCACACACACACACAATCAGAGCCCACTACATCCAGAAGCCACTCAGTTTGGGGAAGGAAGGTTCAGGCATCAATGAGACCCATTTTCCCCACCTCTGCCTCCATGGAGAGCTAAGAGACTATTGTTTTTTCTCCTGGACTTTGCCTGCCTGCTTCTAGCTGCATCTACATAAACTGTGCCAACCTATACATAAAGCAGAACCCTATAGGTGTGTGTGTGTGTGTGTGTGTAGGCTTCTACTTTATTTATACAGTATATTGGCACAGTTTAAGCTGATGCAGCTAGAAGGAGGCAGGCAAAGTCCAGGGGAGAAACTACTGTATAGTTTCTTCTCCTTCTATCCCTCCAGGATGGCGGAGATGGGGGGGGGGAAACAGTACATATACACCCACACCCACCCTTTCCCACCCATGATACATCCATATGCCTTACACACTATAAAGTATAGATACTATAGTACTGTATACATTTCCATATATCTATTGTGTCTCTCTCTCTAGATACAAGCACGTGGGGTGTAGTGGATAGAATATTGGACTAGGCACAAGGGATCTGTGTTCAAATCCTCTCAAGGTATGGAAACTCCTGGGATGGCTGGGTGACCCTAGTAAACCATTCCATGAACTTACAGCAGGGCTGTAAGGATGATGTAGGCAGCTGGGGCTTTGGCCCGGGGCCCCTAAAATTAACCACCCCCACCCCAAAAAATAAATCAATCTGGAGGGGAATCAACCCCTAAGTGTTAGCAAACTACTTGGGAACTTCTCTTGGTCTTATTTTTCATTCCTTTTTTGCTTAAAGCTTAAACTTTATTTTTTCAGGGTGGGGTGTGTGTGGCTATCACACACAGCCCTTCCTTTCCCTGGGGGTTGTATGCCCTCAACCTGGAAAGGGAAAGGAGCACCCCCCCCCACCATGGCTCTCCAGACCAGCCCCCTCTCTCACGCTTGGAAAAGTCAACCAAGCTGGCCCTGAATTGAAGGCAACTTGGTGACCCAGAACAATGCATAGGATTGATTGATTGATTGATTGATTGATTGATTGATTGATTGATTGATTGATTGATTGATTGACAGTCCACCCAACTAGGGCTGAGACACGACTCCGGGCGGCTAACAAGAATTAAAATAAATGCCCACAACCCGACACGACTCACAAAGACATAAACAGGGAACGAAGAAACGTTCACCCACTATATATATGCGTGCGTGCGTGCATGTGTGTGTGTCTGTCAGTGTCTCTCACACACACATGCATATATATAGTGGGTGAACGTTTCTTCGTTCCCTGTTTATGTCTTTGTGGGTGAATATATATATATGCACTGTGTATGCATCTGCAGGTACATGCATACGATCTCGTATGTATGATCTCATATATACTGTATATGTATCAATGAAATGAAATCGTGTACTATACATACATACGTGCATACAGAACTATAATGCATGTGATCTTATTCTCCTCTCTCTCTTTCTCTTTCTAGCACCATAGATGCGCCACATACATATACATTATATCATCTCATTTATT